AGCCAAATGGCGGCCGCTTTAAGGCCGAAAATGCATTGAAATCGCACATTTTCACCATTCCGGACCCGGATCTCAGTTATGCATGGACGGATTTTGTTCAAATTTGGTACATACATTAAACATAATAGGACCTTGATGCACGTCATTTTTTTTTTCGGATCAAGTTCGAAATGGCCGACTGGCGGCCATTTTGTTTTAAAGAATTCAGTTCTGGATCCGTATCCGAGACATGTCTGGATTGATCAAGTTCAAACTTCACACACACATGGTACATCATGTCACAAATAGATCAGACCACTGAAAGTGGTCTGAGATTTCGGTCATGATCTGCTTTGAATGTATATGTCACTCAAATATGAACGGAACGGGGACGTGTCATTGACAATGACTTGTTTCAACATATTTCGATATCTTGCCGACTTTATAAATTTAACCAAAAAATGTTTTCCCTGACGTTCATATGAACCGACATTGACATGGGCTCTAAAACTTATACACAATGATGAACCAGTTACATCCATGGACAACAGTATATTCACTGACTGGCTATAACACAAGTTTTTCAATTTTTTTTCCTTTTTATGATGTTCCATTTCAAACTGTATTTGACTTGATACAAAAACATAAAATACAATGCAGTAAAATGATATAAAATTTATCAGATATAAAAATATCTTGTCTTTAATTAATTGTAGATTGACAATATTTGTTGGGAAAAACTGATCATTATGCAAATAAAAATTATGCAAATTAGATGCATTGTTATGCAAATTGGCCGTGATGCTTGACATGAAGTCTGGGGGGAGAACACTGAAAACTGAAACCAGTCGGCCATTTTGAATCAGACCTTTAATAATACCTTGTGCGTAAAGGTTATTTTGGAATGATGGAAATGATTAAATCTGTCACCTTTTCTAAAATAGTTTGTCTAAAATACAGTGCCAAATTTCAAGGTAGGTTTATGACGTCTTGTGCAAAGTGTACGCAACCTTTGCCGTCAATGTCCTGGATGTTTAACGTTTTTTATGATTTATTAGGTGGGATCATGCTGCTTTCCGAAGATTTGGCTACGAGGGCTTAGTCTATGAAGGTGTGAGTGAAGAACCAATTAAGGTAAAGAAATGTCGCCTTTGTGAGCTCAAAATTTGAAGTATCGATAGTCGCATTGTCCAGGGCATTATCTGAAAACCAAATGTAAACAGCGGGTGCTCAATCAATAACTTGACAATATTGTGTAGTACGTTGTAGTTTTTTGCATATTCTTTAAATTGTTGGTCAAAAAAATGATTGCTGTTTATTTGTGATTGACCTGTGGACGTACTATTTCTCATCAAGAATGGTGTTAACATAGAACTCATAGCAAGTTTTATTCAACTTCACTGGATTTTCAATAACCAATAATGTACTTGTCATAATAAATAATTATTAATAATTGGCTGACTCGCTGTACAATCTGGTATCACTTTATAGACGAGTAGTTGTTGTGACGTGGTGCTCAATTTGGCCTCCTTGTGATATAGACAACACACTTGAAATACATTAACACTTGTGTAACATCGTTAAAATTTAAACGTGTTACGTGAAGACTGTCTTACTTTAAATCACGCTTTGTATTTTTAAAATGATATTTGAAATTGCTTGAAATTTATATTTTATAATAATGTATATAATATTGTTTCAGGTAACCGGTGGTAGTGCGGCCCAAAGTGCATTCATTTACATGTACGATGAAGCTCTGGGTGTAAAACATGACCCTGAAAGAGGTAGGTCACATGACCAAATATAGGTTGAATTTATTCCATGAAAACACTTTTAGTTATTATTTAACCCATCTGAGAGCCTAAATGAACTTGCATTCTCTTTCAACATTTTTTTATAATTTTTTTTTTCAAAAAAATGTAATCATGTTCAAAGGTATAAAAAAACTGCATAAAATTTTCAAAATATTGCACCAAAATAATTGCAAAGAGTGGCAGTGCTTAAAGGGTTAAATGCAAATCACATTCAGGTCTTGTAGCCAATTAGAATTTATGTTATAAAGGATGACATATATGCTTCTTACAAGAAGTGGTAATTTTGTATAATCTAAGGACCCATAAACACTTTTAGAAAGTGGCTGTTTCTCTTTTGTTTCACTACAGAGGCAATCATCAGACGGTTTCAGGAGTACCAGTGTGGGGATCACAGGGAATTTGTCAAAGCAGTTTCAAGGGGCCCATCAATCCGAAAATTTTGTAAGTATCATCTGCATGTAGATATCTACTTCAAGAAAGCCTGTTCCTGTTCAGGCACAGTCCGAAAACAAAGACCTATGGATTGACCTCTGTGCGTGCATCCGTATGTATGTGTGCGTCCGGCCCTATATCTCAGACATGCCTGGACCAATTAGATTCAAACTTCACACATACATCATACAAAATATTATACATATGCACATCAATTTGTTTCACGTTCTGATCCAAGATGGCCGAATGGCGGCCATTTAAATAATGCGAGTATAAATATTTCTATCACTGGGTCGGGAATTACTGGAATGTACCAGGGTACTGCAATTTCAAAAATCACATTTTGAATGAATGATTTTAATTTCGAGAAATAACAATTTCTAAAGTTTTGACGATGTTCAAGCACAACAAGATAGTTACCTTCTGTAAACAAATGCGTGTCTCAGCTGTGTATGATGTCAAACAGGTTCTACTCAAATTGTTTACCAGTGCTTATGACATGACAATTCCTGTCAATGAGCCCATACTTCAATCAGAAGCTGAAAAACTGGGACAGAAACTGAACCATGCCGAATTCAAAGAAGGCATTTGATGGTTCCATTGATTGAAATTCCAAATGTATCACATTCAAAGCTGTGTGAAGTAAAGACGTTGCTGTCAGTAGTGACATATTTGATGATTTGGTAACATCACTTATAGGGAGAGTGCCCCGAGAGACATTTTTAAAAACAGAAACAGAGTTGTTTTTTCATCTTATCGGTTTGTTCAATAAAACCGTAACCATCAAGTGTGTAACATGTTATGGAGGGAAAACAAGCAAAGAGTGAAACAGTGTCCTGTTTTGTGCAAATATGGATGTCACAGAAAAACTAAAACCACTGATGTTTCAAATCTTTTGAATGTAGCTGACAAAACCAATTTGCTCAAATCATCATCCAACAATGAAATTGAAGCAGCCATCAAAATGCTGACAAGAATGTTAACGTACAATTGTCAACAACATTGTCAACGAAAGCCATGTCGTGACCAAACTGATTGGCTTGGGCCCAAGTTATCATTAATAATGATGTTTGACTACTCTATGTTTTTGTTTGCCCTCCCGAGTAAGATGCAGTGTAAGCATGGCCTGAAGTAACTGCTTTTGTAACATTATAACCCAAGCATTTTGGCCACAATGAAGAACATGATCTGTACAAATTAAACATAAAATTGGATAAATATCAGGATTATAATTTTATCTTTTCAGGCGAAGTGATGCAGAATGAAGCATTGTCAGAAGCGTATAATTGCTGTTTAACAGCGTTAAAAGATTTTAGGAGTTATCACATACAGGTAGCTTGTAGGTGAGTCAAATCAACAATTAAACATTTTTTTTTTTAATTTTTAACACTTGGTAAACAGAAAATGTTATGAAAATCCCAGTCAACTGGATTTATCAGTTGTTTAAGTAGTTTGGCAGCACTTACAGTTGCTTGAGAAGTTTTGGTGAATAGCAAATTTTTGTGGAATCTGAGATGCCCACATTTTTGTCTTGTGCAGAACATTCTCAATATATAAACAGGGTGCTTGAAAATTTTTATCTTTCAAAGATTTTGCAAAACTGAGTAAAGATTAGGTTGTCAAAATGCCAACAACTATGCCTTGTAAATAATTGAAATTCAAATAATTCAATTATCAGTGAGAACATTTATCATATTTATTACAATTACATAGTACAAAATTGTTGTTTATAATAAGGCGTGTCCTTTCCAGGTACATAACAATTCAAGCACATAAAAATGCAAAGAATAATAACGAAAACTATCCCGATCAATCTAATGCCGGTACAGGAGGAACAGGTATGTTAGTTTCTCTTTGCAGTTAGTATTGTTTTGTGCGTGTCATAAGTTGCTGATGGGGTCATTTGTTGGTTCCTTTAGCCTGTAGTTTTGTGTGCATTTTTGCATATTGAATATGCAGATTTTTAGTAAGATGGGAAGGTACTCTAATACGAGGACCTGTATTGAGATATCATCATTGATCGGTGAATTGGCATTCAATATCTGTACATAAAATACGTTGTAATGGAGATAATTAATGCGGGTGTGTATGTACATGTATTTCATGTTCTGTGCGACGATGAATTGAAACTGACAGATCTATCCAAACTCAAATAACATTTAAACTGACAGACTGATCTATCCAAACCTTGTTGAATTCAAACCAACAGACTGATCTATCCAATATAACTGTTTTTTTCTGTCCCTGTTCCAGGTTTCCTACCATATCTAAAAAGTCTCCGTAACAACACATCCAACAGTATTATAGAGAAACCAGACACGTAACATACATAGAACTGATTTTTAATTGTAACAAATTGAAGCACTGTCATAAATGAATACTATCTTATTGGAGGTACAAAAATCCTGCAATGACGAGTGTAAGAACTTCTTCAAAGCTGGTAGAGAACTTTGCAAGTAATATTAGCGATTTTTAGAGTTGCTTGTGTCTAATGGTACAATTATGGTGTAGTAGTGTATCAACCCCAGTTTTGAATGTCTTATTACTTTTTGGTTTGGAGGCAGTTTGGATGAAATTTTTAAAATGCAGACGATTATTTGTAATTGCTTTGATAGAGATCTTAATACTGTGCAGGATGAGAGTCTATGTTGGGACCAACAAATTTAATTACTCGATGAGAGGACTGGATAATCAACTGTTGACCTTTATTTATTGTCTCGTATATAACGGAGAAGGTAATAAACAAGACTGGAGTTATTGTTCAAATTTTTGTCAGAAATGGCAGTGCACATAAGATAATGTGTAATGAACAGATTATTTCATTCTCCAAAAATAATATTTAACCAGGCACGAAGGCATCTCCTGCTGATGTCATTTTTTTCTCTTTCATTTTGGTTATCCGCAGAGGATTTCAGCAGGCATCCAGTACAAACTTCACTTCTTTTTGCCCACAGCTGAGTTATCGTTTTGTGTTATTCTACAAGTACCACGTTCACAGTGTACATGTTCTTGTACATATGGCGTCTACTCAAACGATTAACATCTATGAAACTTTTAATATTAAAAAACACTAAAAATCACAAACAAAATGCCATTCAAATTGTTGGTACTGAAATGTCTTGTGCCTTCCAATCTGAATAACCTATTTGCTTTATTAGAAACATATATAAACAAAAAACACAGTTGTTTTATAGTGAATCATTAACATACAACATGTTTTAACTGTGGAGAAATCTCTGCAGTTTTGCTACCCATAGAACAAACTCAGTATATTTTAATAAGTGAGCCTTGTCATAAGTTAATGTGCATATTGGCTACATTAAAATTTTGTATATTTTAAAACTACGATGATGGCACTTTAATCCAACTATCTGTTACAGGGAACCCTGTTTAAACCAAAAACAATAATTGCTTGAATTACAGAGACATTTTTTTTCTTGTTGATTGTTCTGTATATACAGGTACTCATTTTCAATATTTTTGTCAGCTGAATGTATTTAAGTTATTTAAAAAAACATTGCAAAATGAGATAATTTTTTTTCTCCAGCAATAGTTCTTTTTTGTTACATTTTTTCTTAATAAATGAATGTTTGGCTTTCATTTAACTATCAGTAAAATCTTTTGACATTCATGAGTACATGTAATTACAATGACTTGAGTCATTTTAATTAAATTACAGGAATTTTTTTTTAAAATCATGTGTGCAATACAGAGGAAGTTGTTTTAGCCCGAGCAACTTTGCCTTCTCATAACAGTTGTAAATGCAAAATATGAATTATTTTATTTACAGATGTGGTAACTTTTAACCCTAAACACAAAAATTAGTAGTGGAGGAAAGAAATGGCAAACCTTGATTTACATTTTCAAGATTCAAAAAATAGGTTTTTAAGAAAAATCAAGCAGTATATTTTATTTTATACTATCTTATGTTAACTACACCCCCTCTCTCCAATACCCCCCCCCCCCCCCCCGAATTAAAAATTTTGCACCACCTGTCAATTACTGGTATATTGTAGTCTTCCATATACTGCTTGAATAAATATTATTTATTTATTGGTAAATTTTGTGTGCCCCCCCCCCCCCCCATGATGTTGATCTCTTTGAATGACAAAGTTGCCTTTTCTAAAATAAACCTTCAAAATTTGAGATTTGTACATTAAGGCAAAAGAATCAATTTTTTCTGCAAAACTATAGAAAGTTGCCTACAAATATGGTAAATACTGCCCCCCCCCAAAAAAAATTTGTTTTTAAAAAGGTAGCGACAGGTACAAAAAACAACTTGTACTTTATTCATGATTATAATGGGTAGGTCATTTTCAAGTAACTAAGCATGTATTAAACCATGCCAATATATATTTTTTCAGAAAGTTGAGATATAGGAGAGTACATGTATGATTGTGTAGCATACTGTCATAGAAATTCACACGAAAAATATGATTTTATGGAATGACTTATTACTCACTGTTTCATTTATTTTCTGCATTGAGACATAATATTTGAAATTAGGTCTCTGATCTTTTTGTGTACTTTATTTTTTTGTAATTTTTTAAACTTTGCGGACTCAATCGACCCTTTACGTGTCTAATCTTGTTACCAAAACTCCAAATCGACGACTGTGGTGAATAGATGGCATAGTTTGTGTAACGTCATTGATGGCATTTGTCAGGATTATTTAAAGTTAGTTTTCTTTGTATATACATGTACATTTGTACTGTAATCTCTGAGAAACTGCTCATATTA